AGCCACACTCCTTTGATCCATCGGCGTTGGATCTTGCCTTTGGGGCTCGGCACCTTGCCAAGCACTATTTCTCCCAATGTGGCTACAGGATGGTTGTAGTCACCTCCTGTGACCAGCTTGTATGGCGTCATGCCATCTCTGCTGCGCGTGTGGTATCTGGCTATGAGCCACGCCGCGTGGCGCACAAGCCATGGCGTGAGGTTGCTGCTCACGTCTAGCTCAGGATACCTCTGCCTGACATCTAACCACAGAGTCCGGATTTGCGAAGCTGCGAATCCGTTCATCGACTCCACAGTTCCTTGGCTCTGGTGTTGCTTCGGCGGAGCTTCCCGCACAGAGACCTTGGATGCACCCACATGGCGTTGGATGCTGTTTGCCAGGGCTCTTATGGCGGGCTCGCCATCGTGCTGGAGGATGATCTTGTCATACCTCAAGTTCTTGAAGTAGAGGTCGATGTTCTGCAGGCAGTATTTTGACTGAGCCACCTCCACAGACTTGTTGGGGAGTTGAAGTGTCAATGGCCATCCGGTGCCGGTGTCAGTCAAACACAAGATGGTCACAAGACGAGATTCGTCTTCTACCTCTTCTTCCCGTTCTGGAGACAGAAAGAAGTAGTCCATTTGAACCACCGAGACACCTTGATCTCGTTCTGCTGACTGATCTCGCTTGTGTTGGTCTTGGCGGGATTTCCCGCTCACACACTCCTCGCACCATGGCGCGAATGGCAGGTGAGTTAACCGATGTTGTTGTCGCTGTTCTTCCGTGGGGCTTTCCGGCTGAGGTAGCCCTCTTGGTTCAGGCGGCTCCGGCTCGTCTGCCGCTTCCTCCAAGTCGGCCAGCAGGCCGGGATCTTCCGCCTGCATGGCGGCGTCCGCTTCTTGCTGGGCGAACTCTCGCACAGCGTCGGCTTCCTCATCTTCCTGGAGTGCATGGCGGTGAACTGCCATTGCGTCTTCATCCTCGGGGTTGATGGCTGCGACCTTTACCTGGCCCTTTCCGCCATCCAGCTCTTCGTAGGGCAACAGGAACTGTCTCCCTTCTCGCCGGAATGTGGCGATACTGCCATCTGCCCATTGGATGTAGCAGTTGTCAGTTTCGAAGTGGACGCTGGCTCCAACGTCCAGGGCTCGATTGACTGACAGAATGTTCTCATTCACACCTTCGACCACCTGAAAGGTGACCTGTGCCTCCTCCTGAAGCTGCTCTCCGAGCCGCAACTTGGGGCGGATCTCCCCGCACGCCTTCAGCGGTGTGTCATCTACTGTGTAGAGCTCCTCTGTGGCGCTTGGGTCGAGGTCTGCTGTCTGAAAGGCCTCAGGGGTGCAGACCGAACAGCATGCTCCAGTGTCCACCAATAGCGTGCCTCTGCTCGCTACTCTGGCTATCTTGGGCGTGCTTCTCTGGAAAGCATGCAATGCCCATACTTTGCTTCCCGCAAATGCCTTATGTGGGTTTTGAAGAAGCTTCCATTTCCTTCCAAGCTCCCTGGTTTCCCATGCATCGGCGGCATAGTCCCATTGCCAGGTGGACCTCAGAGTGAAATCTGAGTATTGAGGCCCGGGTGTGACATACCTCCTTTGAGTGCCAGCTTTCCCCCGTACCACGTACACCTTGGTGTCCGTGTCAAGGTCATGCCAGCCTGGTTTGTCTTTGCAGTCCGAAATGGCCTGCCACTTGGCCAAAATGGCCTGTTCTGCCAAAATGGCATTTTGCTGGTGTTGGCTGACTACTGTGCTGCCAGCCGTTTGGGTTGCCAAAATGGCTTGAGGTGAAACTGATTCCACGCGGTGCTGCCCGCTGTGGCCGGGTTTTACCATGAGAAGTCGGTGTTCCCCGATCTTACTGACGTTCTTATCTTTTCTGTATGACGTCGAAGACGAGGAAGGAAGGGTGATGACGCTGTTGTTGCCCCCAACCTGCGATGCCGAGGGACCAGCCGAGACAATGGAGGCATTGTCACCTTCATTCACGGCTGCTACTGCCTTCTTACCCTTTCCCTTTTCCTGACCTTTTGTGTTGAACCAGCACTTCTCAGTGGTATGGCCGGCCTTCCAGCAGATTGCACAGCGATCTTTGCTGTCTTGACCTTTTCCACCTTTGTCTTTCGAGTGGGTGTCTTTCCCTTTTCCTTTCTGATCCTTCCCTTTGCCCTTCTTGCCATCCTTTCCTTTGCCACCTTTATCCTTACCTTTCCCCTTGTGTTGGACGAGTCCAATCTCCATGGGATCACTGCGTGCGGTGCTACCCGCATACGCGGCCGATGGCTTCCATACCTGCTTGGCTTGCAAGTATGACACCACCACTTCGCGCACAGCTTGGTAAGTGCTCAGCGTGGCTATGTGCATGGAAAGGTGCTGTTTCAGGGCATTTGGAGCTTCGGTCAGAACTACGGCACGTTTATCTTCATCACTTATTGCTTTCTGTGCGCCGTATTCGGCTTCGTACCTGTCTAAGTCGGCCTCCCACTCTTGGAGCGCCGCAGAAAATTCCGTCTCTTTTGAGGGAAATTTTGGGCTAAGCAGCGAGCGTCTCCAGATCAAACTCTTCGAGTGGTTATCTGGGGCTAACTCTCGGTACAGAAGCCTCCAAAACTCAAAACCGTTCTGTCCTCGAATTCCACGGGCTATCTTCACAGCTACTGCTAACTCCTGGGTCCAGGAAGTCAGCATGGCAAAAAGCTGTCTGCCACGTGCCTTGCAGTCATCAGTCATATCTACAGGGTCCACAAACGTGGTGCTTTTGCGTGCTTCTTCCAAGTCTGTGGGAAACTCTTCATTGATCAGTGCCAGATAGGTTTCCACCTGAAAGGTGAAGCGTTCCCACTGCTCCCTGTCCTTTAAGGACTGAGGCTGTTTCACAGACTTGAGCACGTCTATATGACTGACAGGTTTACTGGTGCCGGCGGAGCTCCCCGCGCTGGGCTGGGGAACTGCGCCTGCTGCGCCTCCGTTCTGCAAGGATTGCTGCAATTGTCCCAACGCGACGTTGAGGCGTTGTTCCAGCTGCTCTTTCTCGAGCTGCAGCTGCGCATTCACCTGTTGTTGGGTCTGCTGAGCGGTAGTCAAGGCCTGAACCTGACTCGCTAGAGCCTCCATCTGCAGTTGCATCTGCGCGGCTTGCTGCTCCATCTTCTTCTCTGCAGTTTGGTGGTCTCTCGTCTACCACCTCGTAGTGTTCACTCTGGCTTTGGCTCAAAGCCCCTTGTATTTGTTCACACAAGTCAAGAGCTTTGTTGAACTCTTGCTTGACTGTTGGAGTGAGCTGGCCCGCACGCGCGGGGACTTCCGCTGCGTACAGCGGAGGTGCGGCCAACTTCTGCAGCGGCTCCTTGGAGCTGCTTGCTGACTCCACGTGTGGCTGTGGGATGTCAGCTGGATCCTTGCCCTGAAACACAGGGTCTGGAACGCAGATCTCAAAGCTCTCTTCACTTGAGATGTCAGCTTCCCAGTCAACCACTTCTATGCCTGCGTCTTGCAGGATTTCTATTGAGAGGCTTGGGGCTTCAGACGAATCAATCGCCTGCTTGGCTTCGTCCAAGTCCTTCTGAAGTCGGGCTCTTTTCCTTGCAGCCCTAGAGCTGGCCCTATCAGCTTGTGGGACCAACTTCACCGGTGCGCGCTCGTCTGCTTCGAGTGCAGCGCGTCCCGGAGGCGGATCTACCCGCACTTCCCTCTTGGCCTCTTCCACCCTTAGGTTGGTCTGAGGCACGTCGGGTGCGTCGGGTGTTGACCCGATGTCCAGCGCCGAAGATGGCACTGACCCCGGCTCTGGTGCCGGTGGGTCTGGCTCAGCCGAAGGATCGGCTGGTGGATCGGCCGATGGGTCGGCCGGTGTTGGCTCAGCAGGTGGCGCGTCCGTGGACTGGCCTGGCCCTGCTGCTGCTGCTGCGTCTAACGCGTCCCGTGCGGCTCTTCGCTCGTGACCCCTTTGGATCCTGGCCTCTGTCCTGGCCACTGAGCGATGTCCTCGCCGATTCCTTTCTTGGGCGAATCGACTGCTTCGAGATCGATTCGTGTCTGGTCGGCTTCGTCCCCACCAACTGTTGTCGGTGGTTGTCCCAGCGTCCCTTGTTGCAGGAGCTCTGGGTTCTTGCTGGGAGTAGTCCACCCAGCCACGGCTTGCCCAGTCCTGAGCTTGCCAGTCACGGTCGTCCCAAGGGGTCGACCTATTCCAGGATTCCCAGGTGTTGTCCCGAGAAGCCGTTTTGTTTGGACTCCCCTACGCAGCCTTGGCCACGTAGGCTTGTCCTCAGTTTGGGCGGGGCTGCCCGCGGCCTTGGCCGGCGGAGCTGCCCGCTCTTTGACCTGGAGCGGCGGGGCTACCCACGCAGCTCCGCTACCATGCAAAGGCAGAGATGGTAGTGGTCAGCGTATTGGGCTCTTACAAGTTACTTACCCCGCTAGTTGGACAAGCTGCCACACAGTGGCACCTTTTTCCTTCCTTGAGTGCACGGTTGTGCAAAAGGGGCTGCGGTCATGAGCTGTTGTCATGCCATGCCGTCTCTACCTAGTGAACTGCCTAGCTAACTACAGTAGCTACCTAATTCCTAGGTTTTACCCTTTGCAGTTTGCCAGAATCTAATCTGCATAGGATAGGATGGTGGGAACCACGAAGCCAGGGTGAAGGCTTTCCTTGTACTGCGTGAAGCTGGCACGCATTGTCAATGCATCAGCCAAAGCTCTAAATAGAACCGAGCTACCAAGTTTCACTTCTTGGAAGACAATGTTGATCTACCCTTGCACAAAATGCATGTACTGCTGTTGAGATCCAACAACCCAGTCAAACGGATTAGGCCCAATCTGGTATCTACAGCCGAAGCTTGGATTCCGGAGAAACAGTTTCATGAGTTTGCGACCCTGGCACGTCCTTTCATGAGTTTTGCTTTCACTCCGGTGAAACTTGGAAACAAGAAACTCACCAGTCCCTTGTCCTGGCCACTCGAGAACTGCCTTCACCTCGACACTTCCGTAACCTCTGTGTACCCCGAAGACCTCAGCCTGGCCTCCTCCAACTTGCCCTGCTTGCACAAGAGCATGGCCAAGTTGTCCACCGAGACGAGCGTGCTGGGATGTTGCGGTCCCAGTTGGGACTCTTTGCCTTCCAATGCTCGGCGGTGCAGCCCTTCCGCCTCGCGGCTCGAGGTGGAGCACTGAGGTGATGAAACATGGGCCCCATGGGTCATGGAAAGGGAAGAATAAGCCAACAAAGGCCACCATTTTTGGACTACAGTGAGAACATACTATTCCAAGCGCTCGTCAAGCACTCTTTGAATTCAGAACGAGGTGCCACGAAAAACTACGATACTTGCCTCCACTTAAGATAGTCAAATAGTCAAGGCCTTCTGACTTGCTTGGCCCGTGTCTTTGGTGGTTAACCCAATAATTTCACAATAAATTCACCAACAACAATGCTGTCCAACACTCAATTTCAAACGGTTCCCCCTGGCGAGAAATGCTTCCCCATCAAACTCAAATCAAAATCTGTCCGTACATCAGCCTAGGCATCAATTCACATTCCCAAATTGCTCCGGTGAAACTGGGAAAAGAAAACTCACCCGTTTCGTCCTGGCCACATGAGAAATGCCTTCCTCTCGACAGTGCCAGGAAGGCCACCTCTCTGCACCCCAAAGACCTCGGCCCGGCCTCCTCCAACTTGCCCTGCTTGGACAAGAGATCGGCCAAGTTGTTCACAAAAGTGAGCATGTGCGGATGTTGGGGTCCCAGTTGGGACTCGCTTCCTTCCAATGCTCGGCGGTAGAGACCTTCTGCCTGGCGGCTCGAGATGGAGCGCTGAGGTGTCGAAACATGAGAAGAGCCACAGCTCAGGCCCCATGTGTCATGGAAAGGGAAGAATAAGCGGGCCAACAAAGGCCACAATTTTTGGACTATAGTGAGAACATACTATTCCACTCGTCAAGCACTTTTTGAATTCACGGGATGCCAAGAAGCATCAATTTACCCAATTTACCCACAGTGTTTGCTCACATTGCTGGCCAACTCTCACGAAACAACCCTGGGGCGACCACGGAGGTGGCTACGGCCCGGATGATCGGTCATCATCTCAACCATTGTCAAACGCCCTCCAAAATAATCGACGGATTAAAATCGCTAAGGGCCTCGAAAAGCCCTGCCGAGTATGTAGGCAGGCTAGATATGGCTAGATTGCATATAACAAGAAATACTCCCTTCACAGGTTCAGCTGAACTGGTGATGCTGTCACAGTCAAACAGGTGCCTATGTGGCCAACTAAGATCATAGATCTCACAAAAATTTTGCAAACTTCAAAAGCCAATAGGGACGTTGAGCCTGTACCTGTTGGCAACCTTTTGGCAAGCTGCGTTTTGTTCAGCGTTTTGAAGACTCTTCGCAAACCACTTTAACGTGCCAATTTACGTTCATAGCTTCAGACGTTCACAGGTTCCTCACACAAACAACTGACACGGGATCATTCCCATCTAGCTGATTTTGATCCTGCTGGGGGTACGTCACACTCCTGGGACAATCATTGCCCGCTTTCGTCATCGTTCTCAAATCAATAAACTGTATGTGGCCTCGGTCGCCCATTTGGAAATATGTTGCATGCGTTTTATCGTGATCCGGAAACTCTTGCACATAGAATCAAGAGTCCGGGTTTAATCAGTTGAAGAGGTGTTGGTATCGTGAAGAAGGGCCTTACAAACAGCCTTGGCTGGCTGATTTTGTAAACACAAAAATCTAGGGCGTGTGTTGAACTGAACCAAATTAGTATTGACATCACTCATCATCACTATGCCGTTGTGTTTCCCAGTGTGACGTCACAAGCCGTACAGTTCTCTTTGGCCTAACAAACCCCAAAGATTCTTCAGAGTCTTGAAGTGATGAAACTCGTTGAAAGGAGCTTGTACTTTTCTTAGTTTTCCGCTGAGCCAGTTAAAGTTAGATTGCGGGAAAATGCAAGCGGCTGATCGGCTCCCAAGGTTGACTCACCTGTTTTGAATTGGAGGACAGATCCTTGGCACCAACCCTGATGCACATTGCATGTATGGATTTCATGCCCGAGCAATTCAACTACTGAATTTGGGCGAAACTTAGGAGATGCACAAACTCTTCCACTCTTGCTTATACTTCAAAACAAGATGAAGCCCACGAACCCGAATGCTCACACGTATGTTAATGGCACAGATGTCAAAACACATGGATATGCAGTGACGCACAACACTTTTCTGCAATAGTTTATTTGAACAGTCTTGTTCATATTTCCCCTGTTACCAGTCCGCAGTGTGGAGTGGAAAGTGTAGTGTGGAGTGTAAAGTGTGGAGTGTGGAGCGTGTGGAGTGTCGAGTGTAGAGTGTGGAGTGAGGAGTGTAAAGTGCAAAGTGTGGAGTGTGAAGTGTAAAGTGAGGAGTGTGGAGTGTGGAGTGAGGAGTGTGGAGTTTGTAAATTGTAGAGTGTGGAGTGTAGAGTGTAAAGTGTAGAGTGTAAAGTGTAGAGTGTGGAGTGTGGAGTGTAAAGTGTAGAGTGTCGAGTGTGGAGTGAGGAGTGTAAAGCGTAAAGTGTGGAGTGTGGAGTGTAAAGTTTACAGTGTGGAGTTTGGAGTCTAAAGTGTGGAGTGGGGAGTGTGGAGTGTGGAGTGGAAAGTGTAGAGTGTGAAGTGTGGAGTGTAAAGTGTAGAGTGTGGAGTGTGGAGTGAGGACTGTTAAGTGTGGAGTGAGGAGTGTAAAGTGTAGAGTGTGGAGCGCGGGGAAAGTGTAGAATGTGAAGTGTGGAGTGTGGAGTGTAAAGTGAGGAGTGTGGAGTGTGTAAAGTGTAGAGTGTGGAGTGTAAAGTGTGGAGTGTAAAGCGTGGAGTGTGGAGTGCGGAGTGTGGAGTGGAAAGTGTGGAGTGTAAAGTGACGAAGGTGGAGTGTAGAGTGTGGAGTGAGGAGTGTAAAGTGTAAAGTGTGGAGTGTGGAGTGTAAAGTGAGGAGTGTGGAGTGTAAAGTGTGGAGTGTGGAGTGTGGAGTGGAAAGTGTAGAGTGTGGAGTGTGGAGTGTGGAGTGTAAAGTGAGGAGTGTGGAGTATAGAGTGTGGAGTGAGGAGTGAGGAGTGTGGAGTGTGTAAAGTGTAGAGTGTGGAGTGTGGAGTGTAAGTGTGTAGTTCAGAGTGTAAAGTGTAGAGTGTGGAGTGTAGAGAGTAAAGTGTAGAGTGTGGAGTGTAAAGTGTAGAGTGAGGAATGTGGAGTGTAAAGTGTGGAGTGTGGAGTGTAAAGTCTCAAGAGAGGAGTGAGGAGTGTAAAGTGCAAAGTGTAAAGTGTGGAGTGTAAAGTGTAGAGTGTGGAGTTTAAAGTGTAAATTGTGGAATTGTGGAGTGTGGAGTGTGGAGTGTAGAGTGTGGAGTGCGAAGCTTCCCCCATAGACACGGCGACACCACAGGAAAACCAGAGACTCGAGACGAGACACGTGGGTGCAGAAAAACGAGCCTTTCGTGCGAGACTTCCTCCAATTTTGAAATTTTCGACACGTTATCAAACAGGTTGGAATGTCACAAAGTGCCACGCCTGCCACGCAAAACGGCATGACAACCTGCTTGGAAACCTTCGAAAAGGAGAGGTTTTGCAGCTTCCCCCATAGACACGGCGAAGCCACAGGAAAACCAGAGACTCGAGACAAAACACATGGATGCAGAAAAACGAGCATTTCGTACGAGACTTCCTCCAATTTTGACATTTTCGACACGTTATCAAACAGCTTGGAATGTCACAAAGTGCCACGCCTGCCACGCAAAAGGACATGACAACCTGCTTGGACACATTCGAATAGGAGAGGTTTTCCAGCTTCCCCTATAGACATTGCGACGCCACAGGAAAACTAGAGACTCGAGACGAGACGCGTGGGAGCACCAAAACGAGCATTTCGTACGAGACTTCCGGCAATTTTCACAGTTGGCAACATGACAAAAGGACAAGTTTTGCAGCTTCCCCCATAGACACGGCGAGGCCACAGGAAAACCAGAGACTCGAGACGAGACAGGTGGGAGCACCAAAACGACCATTTCGTGCGAGACTTCCTCCAATTTTCATACTTTGCAGCTCCAAAATCGACGTTTTCCTACGAGTTTTCCTTAGAACGTGAAAATTTGCAACCTCAAAATCGATGTTTCGTGCGAGGCTTCCGTCAATTTTCAACACATGTGAGAAAATGCCACGCCTGCCACGATATTTGCACCTTGTCACCACTTGACGCAGCCCTGCCAATGCGATTTACAAAAAACACGCAAAAGGACACGTCTAAAGTGCTGCGCCTGCCACGAAAAATGACGATGGACACGCCCAAAGTGCTGCGCCTGCCACGAAAACTGCAACACATCTTCTGAAAACGTCGCAAAAGTATTGCGCCTGCCACGCAAAACGACTTTCGACACGTTGCAGAACACGTCTGAATGTCACGAAGTGCCACGCCTGCCACGCGAAACGAAGCAACCAGACGTCTGAAACTTCCAAAAAGGACCACCTCTGTAAAACTTCCCATAGGCACGGCCATACGGTCCTCGCGCGGACGGTTGCGAACGGTTGCGAACGGTTGCGAACCGTTGCGGACGGTTGCGACCACAAACGCAACGTCGAGCGAACACACCCTCAACCCCCAGACCCCCAGAGTGAAACGGGAACCCTTGCTACGCATTCGGGAAAAAGACAGATCTTCAACAACATCGCTATCAACCTTCATGCCTGCATAAGCACCACTTCCGTGCATGCGACATTTGCTTGCATATCTCTCACGATCATTCGAAATGTCTAGATCTTGCAAATTTTCCTTGATCTAACAACATTCCTCATGAACTGTGACTGCTTAACGTTCTCTTGCTATTGAGCCCAGCCGAAATGTTTACCGACACAGAACCAAAAATATATAAATAACACTGTGTGAAATCTGGATGAGTCCACACAGCAACTTTCCACCTTCAACATAATCGCACTCTTGCCATATATTTACAAACCGCAAGCCTCACTGAACCAACAATCTAGTATATTCCAAATTTGAAACCTTGGCAAAGGAGACATTTTGCAATTTCCCCCATAGACACGGCGACGCCACAGGACAACCAAAGACTCGAAACGAGACTCGTAAGTGCAGAAAAACGAACATTTCATGCGAGACTTCATCCAATTTTAACATTTTCGTCGCGTTATCAAACAGGTTGGAATGTCACAAAGTGCCACGCCTGCCATGCAAAACGACATGACAACCTGCATGGAAACATTCGAAAAGGAGATGTTTTGCCGCTTCCCCCATAGACACAACGACGCCACAGGAAAACGAGACACACAGACAAGACACGTGGATGCAGAAAAACGAGCATTTCGTACGAGACTTCCTCCAATTTTGACATTTTCGACACGTTATCAAACACGTTGGAATGTCACAAAGTGCCACGCCTGCCACGCAAAACGACATGACAAGCTGCTTGGAAACCTTCGAAAAGGAGAGGTTTTGCGGCTTCCCCCATAGACACGGCGAAGCCACAGGAAAACCAGAGACTCGAGACAAGACACGTGGATGCAGAAAAACGAGCATTTCGTACGAGACTTCCTCCAATTTTGACATTTTCGACACGTTATCAAACACGTTGGAATGTCACAAAGTGCCACGCCTGCCACGCAAAACGACATGACAAGCTGCTTGGAAACCTTCGAAAAGGAGAGGTTTTGCGGCTTCCCCCATAGACACGGCGAAGCCACAGGAAAACCAGAGACTCGAGACAAGACACGTGGATGCAGAAAAATCAGCATTTCGTACGAGACTTCCTCCAATTTTCATAGTTTGAAACATGCCGCAAGAACATGTTTTCCAGCTTCCCCCATAGACACGGCGAGGCCACAGGGAAACCAGAGACTCGAGACGAGACACGTGGGAGCACCAAAACGAGCATTTCATGCAAGACTTCCTCCAATTTTCACACTTTGTAGCTTCAAAATCGACGTTTTCCTACGAGTTTTCCTTAGAACGTGAAAATTTGCAACCTCAAAATCGATGTTTCGTGCGAGGCTTCCGTCAATTTTCAGCACATGTCAGAAAATGCCACGCCTGCCACGGAATTTGCACCTTGTCGCCACTTGACGCAGCCCTGCCAATGCGATGTGCAAAAAACACGCAACATGACACGTCTAAAGTGCTGCGCCTGCCACGAAAAATGGCGATGGACACGTCCAAAGTGCTGCGCCTGCCACGAAAACTGCAACACATCTTCTGAAAACGTCGCAAAAGTATTGCGCCTGCCACGCAAAACGACTTTCGACACGTTCCAGAACACGTCTGAATGTCACGAAGTGCCACGCCTGCCACGCGAAACGAAGCAACCAGACGTCTGAAACTTCCAAAAAGGACCACCTCTGTAAAACTTCCCATAGGCACGGCCATACGGTCCTCGCGCGGACGGTTGCGAACGGTTGCGGACGGTTGCGGACGGTTGCGGACGCGGACGCAACGTCGAGCGAACACACTCCAACCCCCAGACCCCCAGAGTGAAACGGGAACCCTTGCTACGCATTCGGGAAAAAGCGCCTTCCCCTTGGAACTTCCACGCGGAAGGTCACCTTTCTGCCCCTGACCTCAGTCTGGCCTCTTCCAATTTGCCTTGCGACTCGACGATCATAGCGAGAATGTTCAGGATGATAAGCGTGTTGGGATGGCTCGCTCCCAGCTGCGCTTCATGACCAGCGAGCGCTTTGCGTTGCAGTTCTTCAGCCTGGCGGCTCGAGGTGACGCCACTGCGGCACTACAAACTAGCAACGTAAGTGTCAGGCAATTTGTGTAGTCACTGAGGTATGCAAACTACCATATACAGTATATATATATGTGTATATGATTATATATTTATATCTCCATGTGTTCCCTTCAACCACATCCGTTCCCACCGAAGAAAAAGAAGCAACAGTGCCCGTCTCACTCGCCATTGGGCTCGAAGACGCCATAGTCGAATGGAAAACGGATTTTTCGAGTGCTTAGATCGACAGGGGAGGACATGAGCCAAAAATGGCATAGCCATTTTGGCAACTATATCGTCAACACATTACTTGCTCTCCACAAGTTCCAAGCAAAGAAACAAATATCAATATCAATCGCACAGCTTTCGTGGGTTGTCGGCTGATTCAGCATGCGCCTATATAGATATATATATATATATATATATTTATTTATTTATACTATAGCCATCTATAGGCCTCATTTGCAAGAATTCACCGGAAAGATTTGACAGTTTTGCCATATTTTCATTTTGCCAATTACAACTATGAAATGTGGATGGAGGTCCCGACAATGTATTACGCCCCAAAAAGTAATCCAACAATATTGGGAAATTGACAAGAGAAAATCCAGGCCTCAGGCCTTGGCCAAACAAAAATATGCCCTTGGTGAAACGTCCAGTAAGGTCACCTCTCACCCCAAAGACCGTCAGCCCCGCCTCCTCCAGCTTCCCCCGCTGCCGCAGGAGCGCTGCAAGGTTGTTCATGGAGGTGAGCGTGGACGGATGATTTGCGCCAAACTGTGCTTCCTTTCCTGCAAGAGCTCGGCGGTAGAAGGCCTCCGCCTGGCGTCTTGGGATGATGGCGTCGGTGTGGGGCCCCAGGCCTGACTCCGCCTGTGAGTACCATGTGGGAAAGGAAGAAAGATGAACAATGGCTTTGTGTTTGGATTGATGAAAAAGATGTCAAATACAATTGTGCCATGTAAGATGCACACATAATATCAAAGCTGATTCAAAGCTTGAAGAATAAAACACAAAGGTCGATGAGTTGACATGTTCAACAAAATTTGGATGTGAGTCATCTTCGTTCCAATCTTCCCGTTGTGAAAAAAAACAAACTCAGAAAACAAAAAGAATCATCCAACAATACCGGGAAACAAAAAGAATTTCCAGGCTTCAAGCCTTGGTCAAACCAAAAAAATGCCCTTGGTGAAACGTCCAAGGAAAGTCACCTCTCACCCCAAAGACCTCAACCTGCAACCGACCCCAGGGAACCAGGGGGAGCGCGTCTGAGAAGCAATGCCAAATGGCAAGAAAGAGGGTGCATCTGCAAAATTACTTCGTTGGTCTTCATTGAATTCGGTTGGCAACACTATCCTGTTGGTGACTTCAGAAGCCACGCAGTTCCTTGCTGGTATAGTGAATCTTGAAAATTCTTCAGGTTTTATGAACTCTTTTGAGAGTGTGATAAAGGGTGACTATACTATACTTTCATGAGATTTTGCCGAGGGCGGGCACATGGTCAGGAGGTGTGGGAAACAAAAGCAAGTACATATATAGACAAAAAAACATAAAAACCCTGCAACGATGATAAATAATTGCAAAAATGAATCACTCCACAGCATTGACATGTTCATGCATTATCGCACTTCTACATAGATGACAAAATTTTGAGATGATCTGAAAATGCGTTGATTGTTTCCCTGCTGTTTTTCCAATTTTTTCCCAACACAAAATGCAGCACCATCCACCGGCAACGGTGACTGCAGCACAGCACATCAGCGGCGCCTCGCTGCGCTTCCCCAGGTAATGCAGCACCGACGCCAAGTTGTGCACACAGGCGAGCGTGTCGTAGTGCTCGGGGCCCAGGTGCCGCTCGTGGCCCTCCAGGACTCGGCGCCGCAGAGGCACGGCCTCGGCGAAGGCGCCGCGGGCCACCAGCACGTCCGCGAGCCTCAGCCGCGGAGCAACACGGGAGCCGAAAAGTTTCCGCGGCTCCGTGGAGGAGAGAGGGCACTTTTTTAACTATTTGCGGTGTCATGGCATATTTTTGGATCCAAATCTCTGGTAGGAAAACAAGATTCTGGGATTCGAATTGTTTTGATTTCACTTGAGCAGTTGCTGTAGGCTTTACTGATTGATGCTATTTGATGCTTGTTGTAAATACTGTTGCCTATACTGCAATCTACAGCTTTCACTTTGCGGCTTTGCGGCATTTCTGGATGCAAATCTGCGGTGACAAGACAATACAGTTCTTGACTCAACAATACAGCTTGCTAATGTGGTCTCTTTGGAGGGACTGAGGTCCGCACCGGCTCAGTGCCAAAAGCGCAAAACGGTGCTCAGGGCCCAATCTTTCGGCTGTGGCATCTGCACGGCACCGCAGCCTTGGTCCATGATCATGCCTATCACATGGCTGTGCCTATCACATGGCTGTGCCTATCACATGGCAATGCGGTGGTCGACCATGTCACCAACATGGAAGACAAAGCAATTTCAAGAGAATGGCCAACGGTACGCAAAATCGTCAAGGTGTGGGACGGCTCCCGGCTTCAGTCAGAAGCTGGCTACTGGGCTGCAATCCATGGTCCCTGCTTTGCGGGATCTTCAACCATATGTTTTACGCGTGAGGGTGGGGGAGGCCAGGTTTTTTGAAATTGGCAGACGTTTGTCCTAAATGGAGCGGGTAATTCAAGTCAATTCATAGCATAGTCAATAGACATGGCATAGACGAATATAGCCGATAGATACTATAAAACTCGAAGTGGGTCGTACTCAAGAAATCTCAGAAGGCAATGTCGCGCGGGCACTCCTGAAAGAGTTTCAAAGTTCCACGCCTTCTCCACATCTTAAAGTGAATGGTCAGGTGGCAAGATCAAACATCAAGTGATTCTGCTCCATGCCTTTACTCCCTGATACTTTCAATTGCAGGACAAGGAGCCCGAGCCAGGACAAACGGTGTTTTTATCTTGCGGTGTACCTTTCTAGATCTGGAGTGCAAAATATTGGATTGACAAGCGCGCCCGCTCTCGAAACAGAGCTTGAGCTTCGTGCTTTCTGTTTGGTATCCATGCTGCCACGACCATGATACTTTGATATACTTTGACCCACAGGAGAGTTTCCGTAAACTTGCCAGGGAGCGACGTGACCAGAGATCCCGGAAGAAGGAAAGGCAAAACGAGAGCAAGAGAGCAGCTGAAACAGTCCCCAGGGCTGCATCAAAAACACTTGAAACTTTTGAAATCATGTTGGCTCTGGTCCAAATCCCTCGAAGGGACCGGTGTGCATCTCAAGCTTGATAATTCATCAAAAGCCAAAAATTTGTCAGCCCTCTGAGGCCCTCTGGATCATTTTTCCAATAGAAGTCTTGAACTGGGCCCACCTGATTTAATCCTACTGGACGAATCCTAACTCCTGGATATGGCAAGCTCAAAGGAACAAAACCCCTGGATTGAAAGGCCGTAACCCTGGATGGTTAGCCGACTCAAGATCCAAGTTCCAAGCCCTAAAAGCAGCCAAGTTTCGTCTCCAGCAGCACTGCGCTGGCGTGGCCCACTTCCTTCTCTCTTTCGACCCTGATCACCACGCACTGCCTCTCTGGCTGACCAGGTTCATTGAGCAGCTTTCCTGCCAGGTTCCTGGGCAGCGGACTTGAAAGCAATGTGTGAGTCATTGCGCGGCTTTCATATGAAGCACTCAGGTACTGGGTCCCGGACACGCCGGGAAGCTTGCCCTAACGGTGCAGAGCAAGCATGAGTCAGATGGTTCCGCATGTGTCCATACAAAATCGATTCAGCTCCGGGCAAAGCACACAAATGCTACCCGATGCTACCAGCCTCCTTCTGCATCTCCGGCGTCTGTTGAATCGAAACGTCGTATGTGACGGCGGCGTTGGCCAATATCGGGATGCAATAGGCCACGCGCGAGGCGTACTCCTCCATGACTGGATCTAGGTCTGTTAATCTGCAAACACTGACGATGTGCACATCCAAAATTTGAATCAAAACTGTGGGCAATGTTGCGCCTAAGAAAGGCACACTCTCCTCGTCCGCGGCCTCGCGGCCTTTCGTTTTCACGTCTCTCGCGTGCATGTTGCGGTAATTGTTGTCGATCAGCGTTGCCACATCTGGCCAGTCATCGGGCGCTCTTCGCACGGTATATACTCCTCATCAGAATTGTTTGCAGTGGACACAAAGGTCCAAGGACATCTCTCAGTCACAGAGAAACAAAGCACTTAAGCGCCCTGCTGTGCACAACCACAGACGGTGAAGCAAATGCTCACGTTTTGTCAGTTGTGATACAGCAGCTGCAAAATGATGGATGCGCATCCGTGACTGGCCCTGCCTCTTCCCCACCATGCATTGGCGTTCGGACCGCTGGTCACCAAAGAGGCCTTCGGATGCTCAAGGCTATGGCCATCGGCAAGGTGAGCGGGCAAAAAGACGCATGTCACATGACATCACATGACATGTTGATTGGTGACTGAGTGCAGCACGAAGACTTCAACGGCTTTCTTCTGTGGAGCCGAAATGTTTTGGAACCCCAACTGAGTCGTGTAATGAAAGAAGCACTCGACTTCGCCACTTCCACTGGACTGAGTCAGGTCCAGGGCATCCTGCCACACCTGCCAGGAGCTGCTGCTGGGGTTGCACCAAGTCTGCTGCGTCACAACGTGGCGTGACGAAACGAGTCTAATGGCGACGGTCGCGTGCCTTGATGCCAGAGCTCTTGTGGATCCAGCACCATTCGTCGGGAATTTGTTTGTAGGCCTCGTGCTTAAAGACACCGCCTCCTTTGTAGTCCTTCAGGAAGTAGTCCCTGAGGCTGGCCTGAGGCATTGTGTGCGTTTCGGGAAACTAAAGTTAATTGCTAAATGTCCATGCAGCTGCCTGGATTCCAAAAAAGGTCCGATGTTTCGACTGGCAACAATCTTACTGGATTGTACTGTTCATGGCAAAATAGGCCCTCAGTTGAATCAGTACAAGAGCTCCCAACAATCAAGGCACTGGAAGACACACATCGAAAATGCCCACTCTGATTCGCACAACAGCAGCTGTCAAACGCAAAGATCATGAACATCGGAGGTTCAATGGGCAAAAAACGAAATCATTGGAATTTGTGATTCGTAAGAATGGGACGGTTCTTGAAATCTGAAGACTGAATACTTGCAAAAAAGTGGGCAAGTGTTGAGCACTAGATGGAAGTCCACTCGGGGGCTCGGCTGCAGCAAAAATTCGTAAAGCGGAGATCGTTCAAAACTGTGTTTGTTCAATGCACCTCGGGCACATCAGAAGACTCACCCGCAGCCCCTGCTCTGATGCCATCCCGCTGTGCCTCGCTCACAGAACATAAAGACTGTCAAGACTTTTCTGCTGCACTTATGTAATGCAATTCTAGCAAGCACTCTTGCACTAGCAAGAAATGCGTTGGTGTTTTTGTAGGTTTGATACAGACTGGACGTTGAAAGGTTGGGTTGATGAACTATGATGAACTCATTCCGGGCTGTAGCCTCCACCACTTCAATCTCTCTGGGATCGACATCAGCCTGCTCAACAACAAAGCATCCAAACAGGTCCTTCCTGTTCATAGCACATGGACTGCAAATCCTCTGGAAGTGTCCAATTTGCGATTCAAATGCTGCGCAAGAGTCAGAGGCGAGAATAGATATCATATCTGGACACCACGGGGATGTCAAACAAAGCAGGCAACTGTGCTCAGTGATAAATATGAGCCTCGGTCTCCACTTTGGTTGCCGGCCCTTCCCTTGATGCGGAGGGCTGGTCCATCTGCGCCTTGCAAGAAAGGCATCTGCGACGCTGAGAAAACTCATTTGGTTCGCAATAAGAAGAGCAATCTCCATCAGTGGTTGACACGTTTCCAAGTTGCAACTGAACGGCTTCAGGAATTGGTGCGAAAGGTGCAAGCGTGGCGTTCACTGTCGTTGCCCGCCTCCTCTGTCGCAGCCAAAGGGCTATCGAAGTTACTTGCCGCAAATGGCGACATGTCCTCGAAACAACCGACAGTTAATGAACTTGTTGGAAACAAACAGATTTGAATACTTACATATAATGATGATCAATCTTGTACCATCTGGTACCTGTGTAATATCAAATTACATCTTGACACTTATTTTTGCTGTTATATATCCTGAGGGGGCCATGGTTTGTATGACTTGTAGTGAAGACTTCGGGATTGGAAAACAAAAACAACAATAGGTACTATACAGTAATATGTACTAATACTAGTCAATTTAGTCAATCTTGTACCTGTGTGGATCTGACTACATCTTGACATGTATTCGGGTGTTATTCTGTAACTTAAATCAAGCCCATCACTGTCAGGCTGGGACATCTCGGACCTGACTGGAATTCCAGGTCTCCTGCCTCCGCCTGGGAAGTTCTAGCAAAACAGCAGCCCATCGTGACAACCTCAACGCCATCGAAAGGAAGACAAGGCCGATCCAGGCTGCCCTGCACCAGAAAAGAGCCAGTTTCAGGCCCCGGCAGAGGCCAAGGGCAAACGCGATCGAAACGGGTTCTGCTTGGCGGTCCCACGAGCCCTAGCCCTTGCCCTGGCCTCGAGGCAATCAGCAGCCACTCATGAGGACAGCACAAGTACCGCAAGCACCGGGTTTCTTATCAAATTCTGAGCTTTTTCATGGCGCAGCTCACCCAAGACATGCCCCCACCAATATTCAAAGCTCAATACGATGATAAAGTCAACCTGCACGTGTATTCCCATTCAAGCACGCGATCTGAAATGCACGCATCTTCTACACCGAAAAGTGATCAACGATGGGGCTCTGATTCCCACCTGGAATCATTCAATCAATCTTTCGAATACAGCCCTGTGCATAACCACCTGCTCTGCATAATCTGTTCTGGTGCACCTTGACTGGGCACCCCGACTGACGCAGGGACCGGAAAGCAGCAGGTGCAATGGCAAAACGGGCGCTTGGCAGTGCAAGCCTGTGAGAACCTTGTTTGAACGCTGGATCCAGACAAGTTGAAGCTTTGAAGGGGGAAATCCCCACCCAACGCAAATGTCTGACTTCCTTTAATCTGCTGGTTACCTGGCGATGCAGCATTTAATCGAACGGAACAAAAAGAAGGACGCTATCTATAGCCTGTTCCATTCACATGGCTCGTTAAAGTTGATGCAAGAGTGCGTGTGGTGGACTGTTTATGCAAAATGTGTGCAACCAATGTGACATCTAACATGCACCCAGCACGCAGCTTGCAGAGATTCATGTGATAATCCAATTTTGGTCAAATCTTCTTGGACTTCTGATTGGTTTCCACCGGGTTCCCTCGATACATGCGTCAACTAATGTGATTCCAACGGGTTTCGTCAGTAGATGTCGGCGATCGTTGTCTATATGGAGCATTTCCGATGCATGCACTTGCAGGGTGCAAGCTTCTGTCCGGCTGCTTAAAATGCTGCGGCACATCATCAGTAAAGTGAAGAGTTTACTGACTAGTGCAGTGTTGGCATTGTTCTCTTCCTGAAGTGCTGTTCTTCCTTGGCTCTTTGAGTCTTTGCTTTTTTTCCTGGACTTCCTGGAGTGCTGTTCTTCCTTGACTTTTCGGGACCGCTACAAGTTATTCGTCTTCGATTTCCTGGCTGCAACAAGGATGGACATATTCTTTTTGCATCTGTTTGCTTCAGTGCAGAAGCGCTTGGATGAAGCTGAAATAGCATCCCAATGGATCCACCATTTCAATGTCTGCCATTTTGGCAGCTTCAATCCCCATGGCTGGTCAAACTCTAATGTTTGGCAGATTCAATCCCAAGTATGGATGGAAAGTAGAAAATATGAGTTAAACCACTAACCAGTTAACAATGGCACTCACTACCTCACTGGCTTGACGAGAGATCAGTTGCTGGACGCTGCTGGCAAAAGCTTGAACACCAAAGTCGAACGGTTGACGCATGACCAGAAGCAGCTGAGGTTGCCAAAAAGACATAACACATCATAACACATGACACATAAATAAATCTAAACTATAAAAACAATTCATAACAAATCATTGTTTTTGCGCCAACAATTGCTGGGCAACACTATCAGAGACCCTGACCTTGTGACTCTGGAAGTGATCCGATCCCAGACGCCAAGTCTGCAGACTTCGAGTACTGTGGGGGTCAAATCGAGACGCGCCCTGTTTGGACAGATTTGCTTGGCAATTCGAAGCTCCGATTTCGGGCTCTATAGATCTCAGTGAAACGGGAGATATTGATAGATAATGGTAGCTTGCGGCTCAATGCGATGCAGGGTCACGGGCTGGAAGATGCTGATATGCCTGCGAGTCAATGGAGACTTGGTGGAAAATGCAGAACTTTCTAAAGTGAATCAACCACAAATCCCACAGGCATACCAATGCAATTTGTTGGAAAAATGTTGCTATACTTCTGGGAGAAGCTGGCATGCGAATCCATTCCCAAACCCAAACTGCAACAAGTTGGGAAAAAACTCAAACGTCTCTTTATCGGTCAAACATGCTCTGAACAAAATCTGAATTGCAGAACTTTGAGAAACTCAAACATGCCTCCACTTGCTGCCTCAGAAGCAAAATCCTTGACGGTGGGAAAAAGACAAGGCCACAGGCCAGCTTCCATCAGAATAATCCAAACATCTTGGTAAAGATTGAAACCGATTCGAGCATGTCGCCTGTGAATGTCTTGGAGGGAAATTTTGGTCTCACAGCGCCTTTAATCAATTGGCCCGTGCTGTCGTTGGAATCGCTCCAGGTTACGGCGACGCCCTCGGGTCTTTTCATGCTCCGGACCATGCAGCTCCTGCAGAGAAGGCGGCACCGAGCGGGCTGAAAGTTTTGTGGATCTCGGGCTGTGGAACACATGTGTTGGCAGG